GGAAGAAAACAGGAGCCTCCCTTATCAAGAGGTAGGCAACTAAAGTACACAGACTATGCTTAGCTAAAGGCTAGGATCAGCTTCTGTTTTATTACCTATTTAACTAAGTGGATTAAATGGAGTTCACTGGAATTGTACACTTAAGAGTTCCCTTACAAAATGCTGTTATCTCAGGAACTGGCTTAATAAAGCAGGCTGTCAGGGGCTTATTAGAAGTAACTGAATACAGCACCGTACAGAGCAAAGATTCAAAAGAGCCCACACAGCCAGTCCTGGGAAACCTCACACCTTGTGTGACCAAGGGAGAAGGGCCAGGGTCTAGACCTGAACCGCCAACTAGCATCTGCTCCCAGGACAGGCCCAGGTCTTCCCAGGAAGAGAGGCATTTACCATTCCCTCCATTTTAAAAGTGTTTCTTTAGCTTGGTAGTGAATTAAGTATTTTATTAAAAAAAAAAAGTGTGTTGGGGGGGTACTATCGATTTTTTATATGTATGATCTTAACACATCTGAGACAGCAGTCAGTACTGGGAATTCACAGAACCACCTTTGGAGAGGGCCTGCAAGGATTTGAATCTCAGGTTTACCATTGACTCGAGAAACAACCTTGTGGAACTTCTCTATGGCTCACTTTCTCCATCTACAAAATGGGAATGACAGCAGTATCTGATGGGTTTCTGTGGAGGTTAAACATGCTAATATGAATAAATTTCTTAGAATAGTTCCTAGCATAGAGTGAGCATTCCATGATTATAGGGATTACTATCCTCTCAGAAAATAACTCACCCCACTTAATAGCTTTTGTATCCACATCCCCTCTTATCTGTTAATTTCATCGTGAACTTGAAATGAGCAGCCTTCAAGGATGAGACTTTGAGTGGTGGGAGGCCATGTACATGGACAGCTCAGGTCTGTAGACAGGGACATTTTGGACCCTGGCCCTGCTGGTGGTAGCAATATGTGATCTCCCACAAGATATTTATCTTCTCTGACCATATTTCTAAAGAGTTTGCACGTTTAACTTTCAATTTGGGTAAATAGATTTTCTAGTGAAGATTAATTAGGAAAAATGCCTAAAGACTGAAAAAAACAAATCCCCTTCACCTAGTGTCGCCAAAGCATGCACATCCTTGCACACTTCTTTGGGGATAACAGATGAATTAGAGTTAACGATTTGGATGGAAGTTGCCCTGGTACGGCTGGTTTGAACAATGGACGTAATTGGCTATTTTTCAGGGGACTTTTACTTTATTAGTCAATTTTGGACTTTTTGTTTTCCTTCCAGCAATTTGACAGTTTTATTTTCCTGTTGAATTCATTTGAGCTCAATTCACCAGAACCTATAAACACTTCTTTCAAACAACCTGCTTCACTGTTGACTTTAATTGTTGCTTTTGCTTAACTTCAGTGTACAATCAACAACTTCCATGTATAATCTAGAATTTTTAGTAAATAATCTTTAGTCTAGCTGATGATTCTATTACACTCAGCTTAATGAGTAAATATACTCCTCACTTTCCAAAAAATTAAGCCATATAAAAAAATTGGATAAATTTCTCAATTCTATAGAAAGTGAATTGATTTAAATAAAAAAATGTCACTCTGTTAGATAGGTTGTCTTTTAGAGAAATAAAACACTTTACATAGTATTAGAACTAGTATCATTTTCTTTCTCCTTAGTTTTGTGCCTTTTTTATTTGAAATAGCAATACATACTCTAGATCTTTAGATATCATTGATATAATTTCTGACATCTTAAATGGTTCAGTCTGAGAATTTGTAAGAAGAAAGCTCTTGATTTAGTGAGAAGCCATTCCCTTCCAGGACTTCTTCTGGTTGATTGGTGCCTGATGCACAGACTATTGTGTCTTACCAAGGACAAGCATGGTGTGATGTCATTCAATGGTCTGTACCTGTGGATCTGAGCTTTTCTTGGTGATGAACCTCTTTAGGAATCAGGAGGAAGTTATGAATGTGTCCCTTAGAAAACTGCACACGTGCTCCTTCTCACAAAGTTTGGCATTGGGTTCCAGGGAGTAAGAACATGTGACCCCTGAATCCTCTCGATCAGCTGGCTCCCTTCCAGCCCCTGCAGTTCATAGATCCATGTGTGTAGGGTCTATTGAACACAGGGATGTTTTTTTCTCACTGGGCTATGATTTGGGTGTGGGTTGTCCTCCAGGGTCATGTGTTAGAAGTTTGGTCTCCAATGTGGTGATATAACTAGGGGTAAAACTGTAAAGAGGTAAGACCCAGTGGAAGGTTATTAGGTCATTAGGGGCATTGACCTTGGAAGGGATTAATACTGGTTTTACAGAGAGAGAGTTCTCAAAATAGCAAGTTGTTATTAAAGGAAAAATACTGGTCTCTCCTCATTCTCTGGCTTCTCCTCTCAACATGTGATCTTTTCCTCTCATACATTCTCCCACCATGATGCCATCATCTGCCATGTTGTGGTATAGCTAAAGAGCCCCTTGTCAGAGGCTGAACAGAGAGATTCTCCAAATATTAGATTTCCAGCCCAAACCTATGAGCTAAATAAACCCTTTTTCTTTATAAAGTTTCCAGTCCCCAGTATTTCATTATGACAATAAAAAATGGATTAGCACAACTATACTTTGATTTTTTTTTTCTTAATGGTAATGAGTCAGATGTTTCTGGAAGCAAGAAGACAAAGATTAGACACAGGATTTTTGTCCTCCCTTTGAGAGTTATTATATAAAATGTCACACAGTCATTAAGAGCATGGACTCAGCTACCTGTGTGTTACCTTGCTACTTGATAGAGTTGGGTTCTTTTGAATGCTTCTATAAATGTTAGATAAATTCCTTTTTAAGTTTAAGCTTGTTTGATTCTATAATTTCTCCCTAAAAAACAAGTTCTCTAATCAAAATCAACAAGTGTCTCTTCACTTTATACTAAGTAGGATAGCTATAATCAAGAAAATGGATAATTTGGATAACAAACAGATAAAGCTAAACCCTCTTATACTCCTGTTGGGAATGTCAAATAGTGCAGTCACTTTCGAAAACAGTCTGCAGTTCTTCAAAAATTTCAACACAGAGTTGTCATATGACCCAGCAGTTCTATTTCTAGGTAAATACCCAAGAGAAAAATGTGTATCCACTCAAAAAATTGTACATGCAAAACTAACATTTGGTAGAGCCATGGAAACCACCATTCTGCCTCGGCTAAAGGCAATGGACTTGAGTAAATGGAGAAGGGTGGGAGGGGAGATCAGGGAGGGTGGGCATGATACAGGAGCCCTGTATCCCTTAATTGAAGAATGGGTATATAAAATGTAGAATGAGTATATTCAATGAAATATGGTAGGCAATAAAAAGGAATGACACACTGATACACAGTACAACTTGGATGAACCCTGAAAACATGGTAAATGAAATAAGCCAGTCACAAAATGTCACATATTCTATGATTCTATTTATATGAAATGTTCAGAATTGGTAAATCCATAGACAGAAAGCACTTTGGTGGTTGCCAGGGTGTAGTGGAAGGGAAAAATTGGGATTTATTACTGACAGTTGTGTAGTTTCTTGTTGGGACAATAGAAGCTATTCTAAAATTGATTGTGAGGGTGATGGTCTTATACTAAAAGCTTATTGGATTGTGCACTTTAAATAGGGAATGATTTACATATTAATAAAGCTATTACCAAACAACAATGACAAAGGAGAGGACAGCTCTGGGTGCAGCCTGCCTAGGTTCAATTGCAGTGGCAGCTCTGGAGTCAAGGATTTGAGACAAGGATTTGAGTGCAGTTACTGCATTTGTAAAGGTAGCCCCTGATCACAATGAGCCAGCAGGGAAGGAAGGAAGGCTGATCAAGGGGACGTTCATGAATGAGTTTCTGCTGTGGGTGGCTGATCCCCTCAGAAAGGCTATGGAGACCACAACTCAAAAGTGTCCCTGCAAGGGGTGAGAAAGTAGAGTTATTTCTATGTATATGGACTGTCCAGCACTTCCAGTCTGCACCTGTGCAGGTTTGACACTCTTACAACCAGAGAAAACTCCAGATGAGGAGAACTAGAGACAAAGATGAGGGACAGAGACGGAGACAGACAGACATGCAGGAACTTGAGCTAGAAAGCACTCAAAGTGCCTAAGAACTGTTCAGCAAACCTACAGGTGACATGAGGGGTGACACTGCAGATATGGACAGGATTTTGATAATGTCCACTTATGGGAGTGTTATCTAACCTACACCTCAGTTCCTGCATCCTCAAGATGAAGAACATAATTGCTCCTACCTCACCAGGGCGATGTGAGAAGTAATGAGTCAGTGCTCATCTGATGTAAATAAGAGGGTCAAGAATACACATTTTAATCTTTCTCCATTTTAAAAACTTCTGTCTTATTCTTGATCTTTTCTCTTCTGAATGAGCTTCTAACAAAATAGAGAGTGAGTCCATCTAATTCAAAAGGAAATAGAATGAATGCCAAGAACACTCTGTGAGGCCCCTTTGTGTCTCCTCAGCTCTGAATGGCTGCCTTTTGAAATATCCTTATGCTTTGTTAGTACATCAGACAGATGCCCATCCCAGAAAGTTCTGCTATTGGAGCAACTCTATTATCTTTTTTCAGTCTTTCTGTCTGACTTTATGGAAACAGTTAGTGGGATTCAAGCAAGAGAGCTTCATAAGGGGTCTCTTATATTTTCCTTTGAGGCTCCTTAGACATTCCCAAAGCTGTATTCTGAAGAGTGCAGCCCCTAGGGAGTTTCTTTCTATGAACCGTCTGCAGTGTAGGGGTCTAAGCCAGTGGCTATGACCCCAAGCATTCTGAGCACCACTTCTGTCAGAGGCATTTAGACTCAATATGTTTTGTTGCTCATGTGTGATTGAAACAGCCCAGTTGGTAAACAGCCAGGGCAAAATGGGGTTTTTAAAAAATTCCCAACTGTATTATCAAGCTCAAGCTGTCATGAAGAAAACTTAATTTAAAAATTTGCTCACCTAAGAAAATATTTCTGGATTGTTTCAGGCTGTGACTCTTCAATTAACCTGACATCTCACAAATCCAAAATTGCCGTGGATGAGCTCTTCAGTACTCTTCGGGACATTGCCGGAGCTCGGAGTCTCATGAAACAGTTCAAGTCTGTGTGTGTCCCTGGGAATCACGGCCACCAGGCAAGTGCATGTGCCCTAAAGTGACTGTCTAATTGGTTGCACTTTGAGGATTCAAAGGCTACAACTATACGTACGGAAAGCCTTCATTTTAATTCCTAAGATGAGGGGTTCTTTCTAGATGAACGCCTATTCCCTTTTAGTTCTGGGCTTGGGTTCCACTGACTCTGAAAGCCTCTCAATTCACTTGTACCCTAGGAGGGATGCAGTAGGATGAGCACTGGATTGGGACTCACTCATAGTTTGTTGTTTTTTGTTTTTGTTTTTGTTTTTTTTTTTTGGTGGAGGGTAACCAGGAATTGAACTCGGGGGCACTCAACCACTGAGCCAAATTCCCAACCCTATTTTGTATTTTATTTAAATACAGAGTCTCACTGAGTTGCTTAGCACCTTGCTTTTGCTGAGGCTGGCTTTGAACTCATAATCCTCCTGCCTCAGCTTCCAGAGCACCTGGGATTACAAGCATGCACCACTGCACCCAGCACATCCATAGTTTATTGACTGTGGGTCTGTCATAGGCTTATTTTATAGCCCTAGGCAAGTGTTTTGGTTTCTTTGGGAGGTGCCAAATGAAGGACTGCCCCTAGATGAGTCCTAAGTTTCTGGATCTAAACAGTCTATAAACATTTTGAACAATCAGAATAATAAAAATACTTAAAAATTATATAATAAGGAAAAAGAAGTTTGTGAGGGGCAAATACTTATTATTAAAACCCCCTCAGGGCTGTCTGAGGAGAGTAAGAGAACATCAAAGAATGTTTTGACCATTGAGTAGGAAGATAGTATGAGAAACCAATATTAAAATGAAACTCAGTGTGGGGAATGCACAGAAGAAGCCAGAGGGGAGCTCAAGGAGTGAAAAAAAGCTGTAGCCATGGAGCATGGGGAGTCTCTCTAAGGTTCCTGGTGACCAAGCCTGAGCTTCCAGGGAAGGAGAGATGTTTCTGATGGAAAATATCATGAATTTTGACTGTGGGAATCTTCTCATCTTCCCATGAAATCTTTAGTAAAATCCACTGCATTTGATAAAACTTCTTAGAGAGCTGAATGTGCTCTTAATGAGGACTGTGTCACAGTGAGAAGCTAAGCTTCAGAAAGTCTGCTCTATAAGGGGGTGTATAGACAAGCTAACATTCCCCATGACAGCTAGCACATCCTGATTCTCCCCCGTGTGTTCCTATAGCAGCTGAAGTTCCTAAGTACAGCATTCTGCACTTAGTTTTTCCTTGGATTCCAATAAGTAAGCCAAAGAGGCATCATCCGAGACCCGGGAAAGTCAACTGACCTACCACGGGCACACAGTGACCAGCGGCAGATTCTGGGTCTTTGCAGCCAACACAAAAAACTCCTGCTCCTCTGTACTATGGTTCTCATGGAGGTTCTAGAAGTATTGATTGATGGTGCTGATGGTCACCCAAAATCACTTGCCACTATACTGAAGACCATAGAAACTGGCACCTGACTTAGAAACAAAGATCTAAGGATAGCACTGCCACAAAATACAATCACTTAGATCACTAATCACATGCAGTTTTGTCATTTAAAAAAAAATCAGCAATTTAAATATTTCCGTATGGATTAGTTCCAAAAGAATGATAGAACTGGTGATGTACGATAAAGTTTAGGCCAAAGAAGTCAAGAAGCAAATAACTGCTATAGTTAGAAAGAGGAAATAAACCACTAATTTAATGAGGTCTTTTCCGTTTTCTGATCATCGTGGTAAGTGATTTGGCCTGCTTCATTCACATACACATGCATTAGCTATAAACCTTGAGCGTCATGTGGACAATGATGAGCAGTCCAGATGGATTCCTTGCTGCCAGTCCTCCAGGCCTCAGAACTCTGTCCTCTGTCATAGCCTGTTGCATCTACCTCCCCTTATAGGGAATCAGTAACATCAACACACTCACCAAAGACCCTAGATGGCCACTATCAGGAAGTGGGGGGTGGGGCGGGATAAAGTGTGCTACGAACACATAGTGAAATACTGCACAGCCATAAAACAAATGGGCTTAAGCTTGGTATGCTGGCAAGGGCCATATGGAATCTCTGTCCCAAGGTCTGATTCTTGGGAAAGTCCAACTACAATAGGTTCATGATTCATTAGGTGGAGAAAAACATTACAGATCATTCTGTAAAGCATTATCCTACTTCATAAAGATATAATAAAATAAAAATATATATGAGTATGTATGTTTAATAAGTCTTTAAAATTTTGGGAAAAAAATATAATACATGGTCTCCTGGTAGGGGGGGTGAGGCACAGACACCCGAGTCTCTCTCGATTTGTCGTCGAGCCAGAGGGGAGGAGCCGGGCTGCTGCCAGCGCCCTGAGCAGGCCCAGCGGCTCGCTGGCGTGGTGACCCCGTGACCCCAATTGGAGAGGGGGCGGAGCGGAGCCGCCACCCGCGCCCGCAAGGTGGGCAGACCCCCGACCCAGTGGTACACGGGCGTGGTAGGAAGGGCAGGGCAGAGCCACTGCCCGCACTTGCAAGGTAAGCAGACCTGTGACAGACTGGCGGGTCAGGCCCAGCAGCCTGCCAGCGTGGTACACACGTCACCCCAACTGGAGTAGGGGCAGAGCAGATCCTTCGCCCACGCCCGGATCAGGCCCTGCCGGTGTGGTGGTCACGTGACCCCAATTGGAGTGGGGGCGGAGCGGAACCGCCACCCATGCCCGCAGGGTGAGCAGACTTGTGACCAACCTGCAGATCAGGCACAGCGGTCCACAGGCGTGGTAGGAGGGGCAGGGCAGAGCCGCCGCCCGTGCCTGCAAGGTAGGCAGACCTGCAACAGACCAGCGGATCAGGCCCAGGAGCCTGCCGGCGTGGTAGCAGAGTCGCCACCCGTGCCAGGAACAGGCCCAGCGACCTGCCGGCGGGGTAGTCACGACACCCCAATTGGAGTAGGGGCACAGCAGAGCCACCACCCGTGCCCGAAAGGTGGGCAGATCTGCGACCAACCAGCGGGACAGGCCCAGTGGCCTGCCGGTATGACAGACACGTCACCCCATTTGGAGTAGGGGCAGAGTAGAGCCGCCGCCCACGCCTGCAGGGTAGGCAAACCTGCAACCGACCGGCGGATCAGGCCCGGTGGCCTGCCGGCGTGGTACACTCGTCACCCCAATTGGAGTAGGGGCAGAACAGAGCCGCCGCCAGCGCCCAGAACAGGCCCAGTGACCTGCCGGCGTGGTAGTCACGACACCCCAATTGGAATAAGGAGAGAGCAGAGCCGCCGCCCGCGCCTGCAGGAAAGAAACACAAGCAGTATGAAAAGACAAGGAAAGAAAGGACCACAAGCAGTGCAGGTCAACGCAACTTTAGAAGAGGTAACAGCTGCAGCAGATGGAATGTCAGATAAAGAATTCAGGATATACATGCTTCAGATGATCTGGAGTATCAAGGAAGACATTAGACAGCAAAATCAGACAATGAAAGATCACTTCGACAATGAATTACGCAAACAAATCCAGGAAGCAAAGGATCAACTATACAGGGAGATAGAGGTTATAAAAAACAAACAAACAGAAATCCTAGAAATGCAGGAAGCAATAAACCAACTTAAAAACTCAATGGAGAATACTACCAGCAGAGTAGAACACTTAGAAGATAGAACATCAGACAATGAAGACAAAGTATTTCAACTGGAAAAGAACATAGACAGCTCAGCAAGACTGTTAAGAAACCATGAGCAGAACATCCAAGAAATATGGGATAACATTAAGAGACCAAACTTAAGAGTCATTGGGATACAGGAAGGTACAGAGCTCCAAACCAAAGGAATGAGCAGTCTATTCAATGAAATAATACGAGAAAACTTCCCAGAGTTGAAGAATGAGACAGAATCCCAAATCCTAGAAGCCTACAGGACGCTGAATGTGCAAAATCATAAGAGATCCACACCTAGACACATTATAATGAAGATGCCCAACATACAGAATAAGGAGAGAATTTTAAAAGCTACAAGAGAAAGGAAGCAGATTACATTTAGGGGTAAGCCAATCAGGATAACAGCTGACCTTTCAACACAGACTCTGAAAGCTAGAAGATCCTGGAATAACATATTTCAAACACTGAAAGAAAATGGGTTCCAACCAAGAATTGTGTATCCAGCGAAATTAAGCTTCAGGATGGAAGATGAAATTAAAACCTTCCACGATAAACAAAAGTTTAAAGAATTCGCAGCAAGAAAACCATCTCTTCAAAACATCCTCGCCAAAACATTACAGGAAGAGGAAATGGAAAATAACAATGAAAACCAACAGTGGGAGGTAGGACAGTAAAGGGGGGGAAAATAGTCAAAGAGGAAAACAAACCATGTTTAGTAACAGAAATAAACAAATATGGCTGGAAGAACAACCCATATCTCAATAATAACCCGAAATGTTAATGGCTTAAACTCACCAATTAAGAGACACAGGCTAGTAGAATGGATCACAAAACAAGACCCAACAATATGATGCCTACAGGAGACGCATTTGATAGAAAAAGACATACATAGGCTGAAGGTGAAAGGTTGGGAAAAATCATATCACTCATATGGACTTCGGAAACAAGCAGGAGTGTCCATACTCATATCAAATAAAATAGATTTCAAGCCAAAGTTAATCAAAAGGGATAAAGAGGGACACTACATACTGCTTAAGGGAACCATACACCAACAAGACATAACAATCATAAATATTTATGCCCCAAACAATGGTGCAGCTATGTTCGTCAAACAAACTCTTCTCAAGTTCAAGAGTCTAATAGACCACCATACCATAATCATGGGAGACTTCAACACACCTCTCTCGCCACTGGACAGATCTTCCAAACAAAAGTTGAATAAGGAAACTATAGAACTCAATAACACAATTAATAACCTAGACTTAATTGACATATATAGAATATACCACCCAACATCAAGCAGTTACACTTTTTTCTCAGCAGCACATGGATCCTTCTCAAAAATAGATCATATATTATGTCACAGGGCAACTCTTAGACAATATAAAGGAGTAG